CAGATTCCCTTATAGCTAATGGTCTTCGGGTAGCTGATTACAGTATAACTAAAGGGCCTATTTAAATATAACATTACTGTTTATTTGATACCGTCATATTTTCATATACTGATATGTATGAGTATATTCTGATAAATGTGTACAGAATAAAGAGCAGCTCAATGGAGAACGAGAAAAATGTATTTTTGTAGTACTTTTGAAGTCCACTGACGTACAGTATGAGTTGTTTGTTTGACTTCGGCCAGCAGTGATCTGCAGAGAGTTAAAACAATCTGTAATCTGAATTTGTACACATATATTTGAGTCGTGTTATATAATTCTGAATTAACTTTTATTTTGTCTGCTAATCTCATAAGGAACTGTTGTATTTAAGAATAAATCAGTTTAAACTGGCCACATGGTTTAATTGTCATAGAACCTTCCTCCAAGGAGATGCTTTATTGCCACTCCTTTTGAACTTTGTTTTAGAATATGCCATTAGGAAGGTCCAGGAAAACCAGGTGGGACTGAAATTAAATGGGACATATCAGCTGTTGGTCTGTGCTGATGATGTGAATCTACTGGGTGATAATATAGATACCATAAAGAAAAGCACACAGACTTTTAATTGATGCTAGTAAGGAGGTTGGTCTATAAGTAAACACAGAAAAAACTAAGTATATGTTGCTGTCTCATCACCAAAATGCAGGGCAAAATCATGACATTAAGATAGGTAACATGTTTCAAAAATGTGTCACAGTTCAGATATTTGGGAACAACTATAACAAATCAAAACTTTGATCCAGGAGGAAATCAAAAGGAGATTGAAGTTGATAATGCTTGCTACCATTCAGTGCAGAACCTTTTGTCTTCTCTTCTGAATTGAATTGAATTGAATTTATTTACATTCTATAAATCCTAAGTAGGTTAGTACCTTTGGATACAGAACAAGTCAAAAGGTTACATACATAAGTACAGGCAATTTTAGCTTAAAAATTAATATAACTTAATTTTACATCATTCTCTATTTACATTGAAGTATTCATCTAAAGAGTAGAAGGAATGAGCATGTAGATAATTCTTTAACTCTGATTTAAACTTTTTAGTATCATTGCCCAAGTTTTTAATACTTTGTGGCAGATTGTTGAACACTTTTATGCCAGTAAAGTAGACTCCTTTTTGATATACTGATAAAGTTGATGAGGGTAGGTGGAAGTTATATTTTTGTCTAGTATTCATGTTATAGACATCAGAATTTAATTTGAATTTATCTTTGTTGTAAACAACAAATAAGAGAAGCGATAATATGTATTGCGATTGAAGAGGTAGAATTTTTAATTTCTTAAATAATTCTCTACATGAATCTCTACTTCTACATCCTGTAATGATTCTTATTATATTCTTTTGTATTTTAAAAATTATTACACTATGTGAAGAGTTCCCCCAAAATATTAATCCATAGTTCATAATAGAATGAAAGTAGGCATGGTAAACCATCTTCAATGTTTCCTGTGACATAAAAGGCTTAATTGATCTCATCGCATAGCAAGCTGCATTTAATTTAGGTATAATTTGTTCAATATGTATTTTCCAAGACAGTGTACTGTCTACATGTATTCCAAGGAATTTTGTATCAAGTACTTTACAGATTAATTTGTTGGCATAACTGATGTCCAGATCAATTTGGTGGTTGTTTTTAGTTGTGAATGATATGTAATGGGTTTTATCAAAATTTAATGAGAGTAAATTGGCTTCGAACCATCTGTTTAAGGCTTCAAATACAATATTTATGTCATTTTTAAAGTTGTCAAATTTAGAGTTCTTAAATATTATACTAGTGTCATCTGCATATAGAATTGGTTTAGATTTATTGTTGATGGTTTTAGATAGATCATTTATGTAGAGAAGAAAAAGTAAGGGACCTAAAATTGATCCTTGTGGAACACCGTGCTTTATAATTCCCCAGTTTGAAAATGCATTATGACTGCTGTCTAAAAACATAAAAACCAGAATATGCAAAACTATAATTTTGCCTGTAGTTCTGTATGGGTGTGAAACTTGGTCTCTGATATTAAGGGAGGAACATAGGTTGAGGGTGTTTGAGACCAGGGCATCAAGGAGAATACTTGGGCAAAGAGAGCTGAAGTGATGGGAGGTTGGAGAAAACTGCATAAAGAGGAGCTTCACAACTTGTACTCTTCTCCAAGTATAATTAGAATGATCAAGTCAAGGAGGATGAGGTGGGTGGGCCATGTGGCACGAATGGGGGACAAGTGGAATGCATAATGGTATTGGTGGGAAAGAAAGAAAGAAAAAGACCACTAGGAAGACAGAGACATGGGTGGGTGGATAATATTAAAATGGATCTTAGAGAGATATGATTGGATGGTACGGATTGGATTGATCTCACTCAGGATAGGGACGATTGGAGGGCTCTTGTGAACATGGTAATGAACCTTTGGGTTCAATAAAATGCTGGGAAGTTCTTGAGTAAATGCACAACTGGCAGCTTCTCAAGAAGGGCTCAGCTCCATGAGTGAGTGTGTGTGTGTGAGAGAGAGAGTCTACCTCAAATTATTACATTACTGAATCTTCAGAAAAAAGGTGGGGAAAAATGTATAGGGAGTCATGTATCATTGTAGGTGATATGTGAGGGTAAACAGTAAACCCTTGCCAGTCCGGTTAAGTTAATCTTAGATATCAGTTAATTTAGATCAAAATAACCCGGCGGAGGTCGTCGAATTTTTAAGGGTGGAAAAATTCAGGGAACAAGTCCTCCAGGAGGGACTTTAAGCTGTGTGTCCCATGTCGTAACTTTACGGCACGTAAAAGAACCTCATATCCCCAAAGGGGATCACTGAGCCAAATTCCAGGACGTTTCCCGCCCAACAATAGTCTCTAAGGCCTCTGATAGATGGGGGAAGCATTATAGATACCGCTAAGCAAGTGGCCGAACTCGCTTGCTCAGCAGGACTGATGATACGCACAATTTATCGGTAGGGTATAGAGACTGGTAGAATATCATAGAGGGAAGCACAATAGATAAAACTGGTCGCGGTGCATGGGGAAACCCACCCTCTCCAACTAACTAACTAACTAAGTAGATCAAAATATGAAAAATTCAGTTCACTGTTGAGTATATACTTTAAAGACACATGGGATATAGGGAGCAAGAGGACCCTCAGACTGTGTATAGGGCAAATGGGGAGACAGAAACCAAAACAAGAAAATATCCAAGATTGGCTTGAGCTGGATGGAGATGTTTGATTTCAGCTTCTTGTCTTTTTTTAGTCTTTAAATAAAGGCTCTATATTGATATTTTTTATTCATTTTCATCAGCACTACCCATATTATTAAATTAGCCATTTATTTGTTTTCTAAGATTTTTTGCCTTTTAGGGCAATCCTTTTCTTCATTAATCTGGATCTCCCTCCCCCACCAATTAATCTGGATTAGTGAGGGTTTACTTCTTTTGCATTATTTGGTCCAAATATCATGTGAGATCTGAGTTTTTTGCAGTGGTGAGTATGTAGCTTACGGTTTTTTGCAGTGTGACACCATGCTGTCAAGCTACATATTGTCACATCCAAGACATCTTCAAGTTTTACTTGATAATGTTTTATGAAAATAGTTACTGATTGTAATAAACATGGATAATTGAAGAAAGCCATCTTCTGGGATGTGGCGCCGTGTAGAAACCTCAAATATTACATTATGGATAATTAATGCAAAAACTGCATCCCGCCTTCACTTACAAAGAAGCAAGCGTGTTAAGATATAGAATTGTGGCCTTCACTCTTTATGTCCAACTTCTAGCAGAGTCTTTGACTTCATAATGCTGAGACTTTGTATCTTCAGATATCTCTGTTATCTGGTAACTGAATGCTGGGTTAGTTGTATTACATCCATTATGACATGGTATGTTACCATAATGTTAGGCAAAAAAATGCTTTCCACTTGTAGGAAGTCAGTCAGTGTTATCAGCTTCCTAATTGTGTCTGTGCTATAGTTTAGGTTGTTTGAAATGATTATTGGCGAGTTTCTATAATTTTTAATGTGGTGGAGGTCACCTAATGTTCCTCCTCTATAGTCTGCTCAGAAGCATAAACATGTGGTGACTCTGGTCACAGTGACACTTCTCTCCTTGTGCATCAGTTTGAATGGGCATAGTTTTAGCATTCAGCACATTGTTCCCTCCTGGAGTCTACCTGTTGTGCACTGTATTGCACAGACATTTGATGTATAGCACTCTTTTACCGGGAAAATAAGCTATGATAGCCATATCAAACCCATTGTTGCTGGTGTTCTCGCACAATAAGTCTTTTGGACTCTCATTGGCAGGCCAAGCAGCCCATATTATGGTTTGATGTCAGGTTTTCACAGTAGTGACTGAAGAGTACCTTCTTGGATGTGAAATCATGTAAACTGATAGAAATTCACAGACGCCACAAAGGAAATTCTGTTTCCTTTGTCTAGGCCAAAGGGTGAGCCAAACAAGTACCTAGTAGGGAGCAGGAAGCAAGTTAAAGCAAAACACGTAAGCGAATTTCTACTGATGTTATATTTTAGCATCCTGTTGCATTGATTTAAGTCCATGATTTATTTAAACCGTATTGCAGTGCATACACTCATCTATCTCCTTCTCTCACTCGCACTACATGTTTCGGCATAATAATGCCATCTTCAGGTGCTTACTCATCCACGTCAAACTAGTTCATTGAATGCCTTAAAGCACAACACACACACGATAGTGAAAGAGTGCTCCAACAGAGGAGAATGGACGTGACTGGCATAGTGAGGTGCGATGTAGCGATGTGGAATCCTGAACAATTTTAATATTTTTAACGTTCGACATTTGTTAGTATATATGATAGATATATATTTTAGTTATTTTAATGTGAGGACAAGGCATGCAATGAACTAGTTTGACTGGATGAGTAAGCACCTGAAGATGGCATTATTATGCCAAAACATGTAGTGCGAGTGTGAGAAGGAGATAGATGAGTGTATGCACTGCAAGACGGTCTAAATAAATCATGAATTTCTACTGGATTACAGGGTGTTACATTCCAGAAGATTGTATTCTGTCAAACATGATTTTGGGAAATCTTCCATTTTTCAGCTTAATGTATATTTAGATAACAAAAACATCCTTTTCATGGTAAACAACATGTCACATTTTTTATTCGAAACATAATGCAATAACCAAATACGTGTATGTTAGTGTACTAGACACTGACAGAAGGTTCCTTTGATTATTGTGTTACTGACCACTGAAGTGTTTCTGTATATAAATATATCCAGGAACATACTGCACTAAACTTTTGATACTTCTTACTTTTTTATTTTAAATTTCACCAAAGTTTTTGGCATATGCTCAGAAATTTTAATTCTTAAAAGTACTACCTGGTTGAGCTCATGTAAATATAATCATAGTTACCTACAGATATATTGAAAGTACCCATAGTAAATTACATTTTTTTTTGTGCTCTAGTTACATATTAAATATATAAAAATAGATTGATTTAATTAATATAAATAGGATTTTTTTGAAAGCCAGATTTGTCTAAATATTTGCCCAGTTGTTAAGATACCATCAAGCAAACTTGTGACAACGGATTGTAGCCTACTCTTTCATGACCGTTCATGACAGCTGATTACCGAAACATTGTGAATTTCGCAGCATTAAGGAAATGTCCGCAGATCACATAAATTATGCCTACTTCTAAATCGGGTGATCTGTGCAGCGTTTGCTCGAATGGTTTTTGTAAACTTTATCCATAACTTTGAAAGAACGCTGGGCGTCACAGTGAATAGAATGCAGTCATATCGGTAATATCCACATCGACCGATTGTTCATATCAAATTCAGTAATATGTATAGTGCTGCTATCTTTGTTCCGTATTCCTCATAATATTGCGCTCTTCTTCCATAGGGAAATATGTTAGATTTAGATCTCTTCACACAGCACATAAAGTTTCCGACAAGAACGGAGTATCAGCACGATCAGCACCGATCATCACAAATACAGTTCGGTGCCTTGTTCGCAAATAAGCAGGCGCGTTGAACCGGTATAGTCAAGTACATGTGTGAAAGACGCGTCTCTGTTAATCTCTTGGTAGCCATAACGATTAAACAATATTATTACAATGATTTAGCTAATACGATACTGCTGTTAGAAGATACAGTGAAACAATAAAGTGTAATTGTAGTGGATTTATAATTTCTGTGCCTGAAAACAAAATGGAAGGGCAGTGTGTAATTCTGTACAAAGAAGCAATGGATGACGAGACAAGACGACAGAGTAACAATTCAATCCTTTGGCAATGAAAATGTAAGATGTTCTGCCTGGACAGTACTTTGGGAAATGAAACTGTTCATTTACCTGCTTACTCAACAGCACAAAGGACAATTATAAAGTACTAACAAAGAAGGAAAAATAAAACACGTAGCAGCAGCAGCAGCAGCAGCAGTAGTAAAGCCAGTGAGACGGAACCTAATTTATGGAAATGTAATCACGTAAAGACCTACCTTTCTTTTCAGACCGCAGTTTTACAGTTATGAATGATTCGATTCAATTGAAAATACATTAGAACAAGAAGGGATTGATGTTTAAAATGGGCAAGAAATAGATAGGGAAGAAAATGTGTGAAACAAACACTTAAGGTCCAGTAGACATTTTTATTTCTTCCAGTAAATCTGCGGTTTTCCAGATAATTACATAAAATGGATTTTTATGCATAGTTAGCTTCTGCTCAAGAGCTCTTTGAATGATATTCAAATTTTTACTGGAGATAGGCCTAACTTGCTCGGTCGTCCCGCACATTTTACGCTGCTTTTAAAAGAATGCCAAAAGTTGGCATTCATCATTCACGAACAGAAAGTTTAGAGGAAAAGGAAGCAGCTCAGAATGGTTTCATTATTTCTCTTTATGTTCCTTCTTTACGTCGTCATAGCTCTTATGGCTTATATTCGTAGGGGCAGCAAAAAAAAAAAAAAAATCCGACGAACTTATTACAACCGCGTAATATTTTTATAATAAAAAAAATGCTTTCAATTTTTATTAGCAATATGTGGTATATTTTCTACTTCTGTTAATTTTTTATTCTTTAAAAATCTACGGGGACCAGGGTACCCAGTTCTTTCCACCTGCGCCCGTGCCCCTTCTGTTGGAAGTTTTATTTTTTCCTTACCAAAAATGGATGTGATATTGACAGATTGTTCACACTATCCGACAGGTAGCAGGTGCCGACGCGTCAGAATATTCCTCCGAACTGTCGGTGGCCCTTCGTGTCGGTGACTTATGGTGTGAATTTATTCGTTAAAGTACCCCTTAAGGAAGGAAACTAGATTTTGTCGTGCTCAATAATACTTAAAAATAGCCACCAAATCAGACATTCGTTGCAATGTTTGTAGTGCCTTTTTTCCCATGTCAATTATGTAAATACAGTCATTATGAATAAAATAATTAAGGGAAATCGAAAATAGAAGTTTGATAACTACGAATAAGGTCTTAGATGATATACGTAGACAGCGTCTGTTTTTACTGTAATTACTGTACTGCCAGCTGGCAACTGTTGACAAAGTGGAAGTTCGGGAGCGCGCAGCCCACGTAATTTCAGTGGCACAATGAGATCCATTCATTCCATACGTAACGACACGGACGGGTAATGGACCATCAGCTGACCGGGTTTTCACACTGACCTAGGCACATCGGATCATCAGTTGTATTTTCGGATACCTACAAGTCTCTCTGCGAATCTCTTGCTAGCAATAATGTTTAACCATTCTTAAAATGATTTGGCTATTGCAGAATTCTTATTAGAAGAAGAGAACACTACCAAACAGAAAACGAGGCATTCATAAAATTCTCGTTCTTTGCTTCAAAGGAAGATCGGTGAGGAATACTTATAGTCTGGAAATAATTAATGGACGATGAGGCTGTTTCATCAGAACTTCCGAATGACAAAGTACGAATTCAGGTTTTTTGTTCATGAAATTTCAACATTTTTTGGTGGCAGAGAATACTTCACTCAGCGAAGCAAAAACACCAACCGAAAAATCACAACTTTCTTCCATCCTGTAATAAATATTTCAGAATGAAAGAGATAAGAGTTCAAATGTAAACAGTTTTTTAGTTCGCGATTATAGTCCCTAGAGAGCAGATGATATTTTATGAAACAATTAGAAAACTGGTTCTTGACAAATAATCTTATAATAAATATAGAAAAGACCAAAGCAAAAGTATTTCATGGAAGAGGATCCTGTTTAGTTCATAGACCTGTTCTGTATTTAAATAACAAAGAAATTACTTATTCATCAAATTTAACATTTTTAGGTATCTATATCACAGAAAACTTAAGATATACAATACCTTTGTCAAAAATTAAACAAAGCTCTTTATTTGATTAAATCCATACAAGACTCAGTTAAGTATAACTGTATTAAGAAATGTTTATTTTACAAAACCTGAATCTATACTAAAACATGGTATTATATTTTAGGGGGGTGTAAATGAAGTAATTAAAACACACAAAGGTCTAAGACTTCTTATTAAAGGAGTAAAAAACAGGATCTCTTCTACAAGTCTGTTTGGGGATTTTAAGATATAACTGTAACTCTGTTTGGGGATTTTAAGATATAACTGTAACTTCATTATACATATTTGAGATCGTGTAAAGTAAGTGAAAGTAAAGGTATCCCTGTAACAGGCTGTGTAGGCCCATAGGGTTGTGAGACGTCAAGGTTCCCACATTTTCTAGACAATCGGCTCATAGTATTTGAGATCATGTACTTTATAAAAAAAATATGATCTATAAGATGCAATATTCTGATATTCATAAGTATGACACAGAAGGGAAGCAGGATTTGTATGTCCAATTAGACAATACTGCCCATCAAAAAGTGTAATTAAAATGGGAATAAAAATACATAACTTAGCCAATGATATAAAAAGAATAGAAAATTTTAAGGTTTTTAAAAATAAATTAAAACGTTATTTATTGCAAAACTGTTTTTATTCTCTACAAGAGTTTTTTTCGTAACAATGATAGACGGAAGTTTGTAACTCGATTTAGTCTTGATATAATACAGAATTATATAGATGGTCTTTGGATTATCTTCACTAACCGTGTGATGCTTTGTTTTACATGACTGACTTGTGTTTCTGGTGGTTTAAGTATATTTATTGCTTTATATTAAATTCCTGGGAGTTGGCATCCATGGTTGGTAAGCTACAGCTGGGGGTTACTGATTGAAAAGGGATCGTATTATTCATTGCTTTATATATTGTTTCGTACATTTTTAAGAGTTGTTGACATGTAGTGTTTGGCTGTTTTTAATTGACTTATCCAATTGTGCCTGTGCAACAGTTATGGATGTTAAATAAATTATCATTATCCTACACTACTGAATAATTAACCTATTAATACTGAATCATGACTATATTAATTTGCACAACACAAACCATTTTTTATATTGACTGGATGCTAATTTCAGCTTCTCCCTATTAAAGTGATAGGTTATCAAGAAGGTGCAGCAGAAACTTATTGTTTATGGAGTTTCTAATACATATAACTTCAGATTTGGAGCTCTGTAATTAATTAATTAATTATAGTTTGAGTGCACATTTTACAAACACAACCTTCCCAGTTATTTATAGGGATGTCAGCTGATAATGATAAATCAGTACAATATATCAGGCAAACAAATTAGATATTAATATGGAGTCACCACATAATTTCTTGGTAGCATAAAATTACTCTTATTATGAAGTATTAAGAAACAAGCCCATCAATTACAGAAAATTCAGGGAGATATTGTGCTTAGTTATTAGGAATAAACAACAACATAACAATAATAGGCATGTAATGAAAGTAAAATCTAATATATACGTAATGTTTAAACTCTGAATTATGTTTCTTAAACTATTTAAAAAACTTAAAAAACTTGAGCCTGCATTATAATTTACATGCAAGTATGATAATTTGTGATATAAATATGTCAGAATAGCGTTTAAGACTGAATTTAATTACTTAAGCAATTTAAAAAAGCCCTGATCTTTTAACATGATTCTGTATCAATATAAATATATCCAGTATCAATATGGCCTACCATAATGACTAGCATTCCTAATTATGATTTTACATTTGTCATTTTGGATACATGTACTCAGATATGAATATCTGAATTTATACCCAAGCCATAAAACTGATACTTCATAGACAATGTAAGAACATCAGCATCACCAGTGTGAAAAATATGACATCTCTTATGTTTGATTTGGAGTTTCATAAACCTGGTTATGAAGTGTTCTGTCTTGTAGTATATAACACCAACATGTAGTCCACTGAAAGCCAATTGACATTTCAGAGGAACATGTTTCCGCCATCTTCACGGTTGAAGAATAAGCCAAGCAAGAAACCAGCAGGTAACATGTTCCTGCAAAATTGTTGGTTGAATTTCAAGGGACTTAATGGCATATCCCAGAAGACAATACCCTTCAGACCTATCTATTAAGTTCAGTAGGGCATTCTTTTATTTCTGATTAATCACACAAGTGCAAAACTGTTACCAGTACATCATAAAGATCAACAAGCACTGAAATAACACTCCATAAGCACAATGCATTTTAGGATTCCAAGGGATAAGACTTCAGATATTCTAACTGAACACTTCTTATATGAAGAACGTGTGCTAATAATTAAACGTCAATGGCAAAAATTGGCCATTATCATACAGAATGACATATGCTTTAAAAACTTAGTAACCTGAACAACATTCCTGAGATGATAATAATAATATATTCATTACATTTCCATAATGTCACATTTCAATTTTCTTACAGATCATCACAGTTGCATTAAGAAAACTATACACAGCAATTCTTCTGAACTCAAAATCCAACTCAAATAAATTTGATAGATAAGAATGTCAAAATTTTTATAAAGAAAAAAGCATTTCATATAAATACCATGAAATAGCAAATCTTAGTCAGCTTTAAAAATAAGTGAAACATTCTTTTCCCTATCAATATGTAAATTATAGTATGGACTGAAAGCAGGGTCCAAATCGCTGTAGTATCTGTTATAATTCTTATTCATTCTCTCAGCAAAATAATGCAGTTACAAACTTCTAAAATCTGACAATTCTCTAACTTCTGAAATGGAACTGCAGCTTCCTGCAAGATGTACTATTAAAAATGAAGAATCAGTGTATGAAATGTTGAAAGCACTAACTGCTGCCTTTGCTTTACAGTGAGGCAAAGTAATCCCATGATGTGGAGTAGCAGATCAGTCTACTGATAACAAGTCTACAAGGCTCTATAGAATATGGTACTTAAGGTAAGCTATATTTAAATACAAGGTCATCAGAGAAGACTTCCCATATGTCAAGGAAGTCCCAGGCTTCTATTTCTGTAATGCTGGTTTGAAAACTAGTGTAGTTCCCAAAATTTAAGTTCATGCAATCTTCTGACAATGCCATGTACCTCTAATATATTGTCACTTGTATAGGTGACTTATAAGATGCGTTTCAGATTGGAAATTGGATTTATTGACCACTCCCTGTACAATCCCTCATAATCACAATAAATTACAGTAACTCACAATAAATCGTCAGCCAAACCCTTCTTCCATGACTGCCTAAGACTCACTCAATTCTGACTGGACTCTTGACTCTACTTTCTAGCCAAGTCCAAGTCGCATTGCGACTGACGGTCAGTCAGTCTGTCTGTCTTGGTGTCAAGTCCTGGCTGGGGCTCATGACCAGATTTTTTTCCTTATATGAAAGTTACTGTCCTGTCCGTTTGGGGCATCCTCTCTGACGAGAGGTCGGGTCTGTCATCTGTCAGTCATAGTCCATATTAGTAAGTCAATTGTCAGTATTTACATATATTTACAAATTTAATCTTAATTCCTATTTCTACGTACTATTTCTAGCTGGCCTGGGTTTCTGGTTATATAGCCTTGGATCGGACCTCACAGATAATGTGCCCATTGCCTAGCAATGGATGTCTACTGTTGTCGCATATTGTAGGCTTTACCTAACAAAGGGCTGTTTACCCAGAATCTGTTTCTGTGGGAAGGTGTTTATCAAGTCGTTGGCTAGCAATGGATCTATATGTCACAATATCTATTATGCATTGTAATATTACTCTTTCAAATACACACCCTACATACTGGATAGTAAATAGGGAAACAAATCCAATCTATGCAGCTTTAACGCAAATTAATGTCAAAATTAACCAAGACTAGCACCTATTGTACTACAAATATTAGATTCCTATGGCTTAATGGTGAAGCACTGCGTGTGTTTACATACATCATGCTATTCAACACTGTTTCAGTAGCATTTATTCCAAACTTTTTCCCTTAAATGCAAGATTATCTGAGAGCCTACTGCAAATTGGTCAGTCCAATGGAAGAGAAAGAGGCTCCTCACACGAACTCTCTCCCCATGTGTTCTGGTTTACAGTGCTGTTGACATGCCCATAGGTCAACAAATAAAACACATGCAAATCATAGAAGATGCTAGGAATATTCTGTATTGTTATGCATGCATACCTTGCACCTCCATAAAATGTCCACATTCACAGGTTGAAGTTTCTTTTAGGAAACAGAGCAAATATGAAGCTTAAAACAAAAAAACCTAGCACTGATCACATCAAATTTTTCTTCAGTAGGCAATCAATCAACCTGTGAAAGAGAGTGCTTTACACTTCCATGGGCATTTAGATGGGGCTGTAATAAACAAAAGGGGGGGGGGGGTAACTTACTACTGCTGGTTCACTAACTTAGAGCTTATTAGAAATCATATGAAAGTCTGTACCCTAGTTTTGGAACATAGCAATTAAGAGCCTATGAATACTTCAAGTATAAACTGAAACTTACCTCCTTGATTCATTTTGTCACCCAGGATAGTACATAAAGCATAAATGTCCATAGAGTTTTCACTCTTAACTCTTTGTCTGGCGCGAAGGGTATTTAAATGCCACTCCTGTCCTGTCCTTTAAGCTTTAAGTCGCTAAAATGCATGTGTTTACTTTTTTTTTAAATAACTTCAACAAAAATTGGTTTTTAAAAACTAAATTTTCAGGAACTAATAAAAAGACAATATTTTATGCAAAAGATGTCTTTTCATACCTTTTTAGTAGTTTTTCTTTGTGTGATAAGCACTGAAACATGAAAGTTTGCAGAGAGCCACACCACAGCTTGCACACACGACACGTTTCTTTTCTAATCTTGTGCTTAGCGCACACGCGACACTTTCTCATGGCACCATTCTTCTTCGTGTTACTGGGAGGAACATGGACCATTTTGTGTATTTTCAGGCCACCCTATAGACAATTTGCTGGGTCCTTCACTGGTGGTCTTTTCAAGGTCGTGGGCCGAGTCTGAAGCAATAGTTTCGTCATCCACTTCATTTCTTGACTCTTCTCCCTCTCTGCACTGTTTGTTTGGTTCTGTCATTTTTTCTACACAGTCCAATATGAAATCTTTGAATTTGTATTTTCTCTTCTTGTATTTTTCGTTTGTTGTATTCTTTTTGAATAGAATGAAACTATTCAACGCTGCCATTTGCAACAAGAAAAACACCAGTTTCTTTGTACACTTTACAGTTTTGCGGGAACAAGGACAGCATTTGATCGGCCATGTCAACCCCCCTCATATGTTTATTGTACTCCCCAATTACCTCAGGTCTGCATATTTTTTCTCCTTTGCGATTCGTTTTTGCAGATTCAACGATTTTTGCTGTGTGAAGAGTGGAGATAAGTTTGATGTCTCTTTTATCTCTCCACACCTGTATGAGAATTTGCCCCTTCCTAGAAAACACAGATTTCCCTTTTTCCAAATTTTTTACATCATCCTTTAGTTCTTTAGGAGCTCCTCAGTCCATTCTGAAGGTACCACACACATCAGTATTTCTCTGTAATAAACTAATAACATCTCACACAATTCTACACTATTGTAATAGTTATCCTGGGAGAGATGATACCCTTTATCTAGAAGCTGTGGCCCCAACAGATCGACAACTAATTCCTTTAAAGGTCTTGATTTTCCACAGTAAATTTCAAAATTCCAAATATATCCACCTGTTGATTCACAAACAAGATAAGCCTTTATACCATACTTATTAGGTTTGTCAGGCATATATACTCGGAAGATAAGGCGTCCTTTCCAAGCGATCATTCCCTCATCTATTGAAATTTGCTTTTCAGGGATATATGTGTTTCTAAATTTCCCCACTAATGAGTGTATAATTGGCCTAACTTTATACAGGCGATCTTCACAGTCAGCTGGTCGTGCATCGTTGTCTGCAAAATGAAGAAATTTCGAGATCTGTTGGAACCGCCTCAAAGACATCTTTTGTCCATACCATGGAGTGTGAAATAGGGGGCTAGTGGACAAATATTCTTCAATTTCAGGGCGTTTGTCGATTCCTGTCATGAACACAATTCCTAAGTATATCCACATTTCACCTGGTGTGACATATTTGTAATTGTGTTCTTGAGAGTGAGGAGCTAGCTCATGGGTGTTGAAGTGCTGGTGAGCATAGCGATTGGTTTCAGTTGTGATGTGATTTAATAAGTCATCATCCAGAAAAATTTTAATCCATGGAAAGGGGTGCATTTTATGTGTTATATCAATTTTGATCCCAGAACTACTAATAAATGGAACTATTGTTGGTACAATGTCTCCATACGTCCATGAGATGGGCATGTCCGTCACCACACTTGTGGTCACTAAATGTTCATGATTACTGTCTTGTGGATCATTGTCTATCACTGTATTATTGTCACTATCAATTCCATCTGATACAGGAATCATTATTTCATCGCCACTTTCATCATCAGCACAAATCTCGTTCACAACACTTTCCAGCTGGTCTGTAGGAACACTCCTGACACTTGCTGTGAGAAGCCATGGTGAAACTGAATGAATGTGAAATATTTTCTGACCTATTCCTTCTCGGAGGGTTCTGGCAGTAATATAGACCCCCACAAAGTCAACAAGGGTTGTATACAACCATGCACAAAAACTATCATAAATATGTCTTTGGTTGATGAGTGCCAAGACAGCAAAGAAGGGAAGAGTGTATCAAAGTGCTAAAACACGCCAATGCCAGGGAACGGCTGGCATCGTCCGGGCATGAAAACACACCCGCGCCAGTCAAAGAGTTAAAATGGGGGAATCTGGTAGCATAAGGGCAATGTGCTGTATTCTTACATTCAAGATTCAGCATCTGAGACCGACTGGATCTGGTTTGAAGTTCTTCTCATGCTTTCCGGTTTCTCATCTCTGACTGACCAATGAACTGCAAGCAGCAGAGCCTTTCTTGAGAAGCTGGTAACCTTTAAGCTAGTCATAAAATTTTCTGCCTTCTATAGAGTCCAGAAGTCTGTTATAGTGTTCCCAACAGCCCACCACTGGACTTTTTTCCTGGCCAGATCTTAAGGAAACAGGTTGTGATGGTGTTCTTACACCGTTATTTCCTTAAGTTTATTCTTCAGTTTTAAAAAATCAAAATTTTGTGAATATGGGGTATTTAAAACCTCTCACCAGGATTCATTAGGCTGTAGGTCCCATATGTTGGCTACTGTCCTCATTATTTGGAGTAAACTTGTATTTTACTGCCAATTTTTCGTGAGACTTAACTATAGGGAGTGCAGTCACAATCAGTTATTAGTGTCAATAAAAACGGAACTTTGCTGGTGGAGGAGGAGGTACATGTTTTGATTCCTGTACACTGGCTTTGGGATATTCCTTAGAAACAAGGCCTGATCTTTTTAGTGTGTGCAGGGATGGCAGGTGTAGTTCCATACGCTCTGACCCTTCCAGTGACATGCTGCAGCACTGGCTTATATCAAGGTACTTCAAATTGAAACAGTTCTGTCCAACTGCTCTAAGACTTGCATCTGTTAGCTGAGAGCAACCCTGCAAGGAGACATTTCTTAGTATTTATCAGATGAACAAATTTGAGTTCAGGTGACAAGCCAAACTAAGATTATGAACTTCATTATAAAAATCTGTATGAGCAAAATTTATATATGAATCTTTGTAAAGCAAGGGCTGTCTGTATACTATATGCTATAATCTTATCTCCATAAACAAAACTCCATATAACAAAGTAAAACAATGTAGGATTTGAGGTTCTGACATCAGTGGTCATGAAAAGTACTATCGTATGGGATATACATATTCCATTGAAATTCAACCTACGTTTCAGAGGGACATTGCCTCCATCTCCAGAGTCGAAGAATAAGCTGAGAAAGATACCAGTGTGAAAGCAGGTGGCAAGCAGACCCTGAAGGTGGAGGTGGAATGTTCCTCCGAAACATCTGCTGACTTCAACAGACTACATGGCATTATATTCCAGAAGATAGTACTCTTCAAAGTAAAACATTTCTCCTGAAACACAGACTCCCAAATAAATGAAAATAAAAAAGAAAGAGAGTTTGTATGCCTGAAATATTTTACTTCCTTTACATAAAGTAAATTGAATGCATTATAAATCAATATTTCACTTAGTTTAAAATCTATGTAATATATTTTGTTCTTTGATTAAGACATCAGAAGTTTTGTGTGCAAATGAGTGGGATTTTCTAAATTTAGCCATAGTCCACACGTATTTAACATTAGTCAAAACTCAAAAGCGTGGTAAATTGACCATTCTACTCTAGAATTTTTCTCCCCTAGAACATCTGCTCATCATACCATAGGTTTTTATAAGGTAATTGGAAGGAATCATGAGAAACTGTTGAAATATTGTGCTGGATACCTGCTCATTAACAGTCTCAGCATGTTATGTACTGTACTTGATCTTTGAAGATTTTACATTTGTCGCTACCCAAAAGTGACAGATACCTGTAGTTCGAGGCGTTTCAGTCTTGACAAATGCTTTACAGTATTGATCACACCATCATCTGAGATATTGTGACAGTAACTCATTATTAGGGTTTCAATACTTGGATTCTTTGAGGCCAGCTCTGAAATGCCTATATGTGTTACCTGAAAGCATAATATAAAATGCACAAAGCAAAAGTAATACTGATTTGTAGCAAAATTTATAAAGGTTATTTTTTTCAACAAGCTTCTTATACATAAGCACAACTTTATCAGAAGCGAAGGAGCAATCGTTTTTTCCTTAAAGACAAGATATCAATCAGCCTAACCTAGAAGCAGGACATATTAAATTTCCTGAAAAAAACTAACCTGCTGACAGCGACTCAGATCTAAATGTCGAAGTTCAAGAAAGTTAAAGGCATACTTCAAGCTAACATCCGTGATTCTGTTGCAACCACACAAATCTAATTCTTGCAAACCTGAGGAAAAACAAACAAATTAGAAAAAAATTATTCTTTCCTGAAAATATCCTGAAATGATATACCCAAACAAAAGTTTGTAATTAAATATCAACACTCTGCATACCTCTCAGTCTAACAAGTGAGAAACCATTTTCTATTTCTTCGGTGTTCTGATCTTCACACATCTGCAATACAGCTTCTTTCCTTTTGGCATCATTCACTATATCTTGTTCAGCTCTACTCCTCAGTGATATCCTGTGTAAGGGGTCAGTGTGTGGAACCCCGCTATTACCAATCCAGTGGATTCCATTGATTTCTTTTTCTACCAGACTTGTAACTTCAGTTCTATTTTTCTGCTCTTTTGTCTGTTCTGACCTTCCTGTTCTCAACCCCAAGCCTGTGAGTCCTGCGTCAGTTATTTTATCACAGCTTGTCACATTGAGAGATCGTAGCCACACTTGGTGCTGCCAAACAGCCTGAATAGATGTGTCTGTTACTGCATTGAAACACCAACCAAGGTCAAGATGTATAAGCCCAGGAAGGCTCTCAGCTATGCGGCAAACAGTTCTCTCATCTAAAGAGAGTGCAGTGAGATAAAGTCTTTGGAAATGTGGATTCACATAGGAACACAGTCCCTTCTCAATGCCCTCACCAGTAACCTGTTCACAGTGTGATAGGTTTAAGTCTACCAATTTCCTAAGATGACGAAGTTCTGCTACACCTATATTTGTTATAGCAAGGCAGTACTCCATGTTGAGTTTAGATAGATTTTGTAGGTTGTGACAGATGGCTGAGAAAGAAAGATCACTGATGTGTGAACAGAAGCCTAACTCTAATTTGACGAGAGTCTGCTGGCATTCTGTCAGTCTCAGTATGCCTGTATTGTTCAGTTGTTCACAAAACTGAAGATCTAGTGCTTTAAGATTCAGAGCTGGTACTTCTGCTAGCTGCGACAATGCCGCATTATCAATAAGTGTGCTACCAAATCCCAACCTTCTGATCTTCTCTGCTTTTGACACAATATACTGTAATATATTCCTGAAAGTCAGAACGCTTTCTGATGCCATTATACTGCCAGACTTTGACATGTTACCAGGATAAAATTTCTTACATAGTCCACTATGGAATGAAATCTGGCATCCTGTCAATGACAGATCTTCCAAATTAGGTGCAATTGCCACAAACCTGTTGAAGAGGGCATCTGAAAGATATCTATTTGACTCAAGCCTTAGTTCCCTGAGTGTTACAAGGGTCTTGCTAAGTAGCTGAATATCACATTTCTGTTCCAGTACGCGCCCTGACATTAGAAGTTCACGACAGCCACTCACATCAAGAATTTCTAAACGGGAGCACCTTAATAGAATATCTACAAAAGTTTTTTCTGATACATCACAGCTATATATGGAAAGAGACCGCATTTGTGGACAGAATCTGTCCCAAAATACGGTTAATTTTCCTCCTAGCTCTACATTATTAAACAGAAAATTCAGAAATGTTCCAAGACTATTTTCAAAGACTTTTAATGCTCTGGTCAGGTCATCATGCAACACTACTACTTCACTGCCATGTAGCTTCAGGTCTTTAGATGCCATGTGCCACAAATGGCACACTTGTGATGCACTTATCCTGTCTGATAAAGACAGGAACTCCAGGATGTATATTATGATCTGCAAAGGGAAAAGGGTTTCACAGTACAACAGTAAAAATAGTACAATGTAGAAAATTCGTTCTAGTAGAAATTATATCACGAAGTTGTCAAATTTGAATGAAAAATTAACTGTAACATTATCAATTAGATCAAAATGTATTTTACACAGGATTTGCACCAATTACAGTAAGGGATTAATAGATTTACGAGGTGACAACACAAAACATCATTTTAAAAAACAAAATAAAAGCACGGTACTTCACAATACTTCACAATATAACATTCAAGGTTATAAACGTTATGATCCAATGCACAACTGATTTTGATATAACTGTAGATATTAACAGTTCTCACCTCAAGAGGAAGTTCTACCAAACTGTTTTTCGTACTCAGCTCTTTATTTTCATTTGATACTGTTATAACGGACTCCATGTCAGATTTCTATGTATGTATATGCCAGTAATTAACACATTTAAATGTCTATTCAGTTCCGACCTTGACTGTCGCCTTCTCCTTCTACCAGCTGATTTAGCGACTTACGATTGCCATCCAAGAACCAGGTGAAACTTTCTACCCAGAGATGGCATGTCGAATGTTTATGGTATAACCTTTAACTGCTAGATGTCTCGCATACTCGTATGAGACCATAATGAGACTGTTAGTTGGGTGGTCTAACTCGCAGGTTGTAAATTCCCCGCGGGACCGGCCCCACAATGATGTTGGTGCGTGCGCCCGGCCTCTCGCTTCTGCGCAATCCTTGGGGTGAAAAGATCTCCCTACCAACTGGAAAAGCGTATTGTTATAGGAAGCGAGCAGTCTCACAGACTGACTGACTCCGGGCAGACAAACCAACAGCTGATCGCTGGTAGCCGTCATGTCACATCGTAAATTGCCTCGACGACTACAGTATTATAGCTTCAGAGTTTCGAAACAGTCAAGAAATAAAGGCAAATTCTGAGCTATTCTTCACCTACATCCGCCCACTTTTCTTCATTTCGACAATACATCGCCTGAAAAGTCTCCGCATTTAAAATCCACGTGGTTACGGACGGCAGTCAACAAACGTCCAAACTAACAGGGTTATTCTGCATCAGGAAAGAGTGTTTTGAGTGGCTGAACTAACCAAAACGGGAAGAGAACCCAAGCGGTGGTGACAATTACGTTATATACGATTTGCTGATTATTTATTTCATGATATATTTCTTGTTAAGCAACATAGTGTGAAATGTTTTGCTATCATCGTTATTTGGTGTGCAAGAATGAACAGTGAGTTAGTTATGCATGAAATTCTGGTGAGTTTGTAACTGGCATTTAAATATGTGTTTTTGTCATCAATCCAGCAGTTATCATGTACGATCTCACGCTTTGCACTGAGACTCTCACGCATGAGAGTTTTTCGTTTCATTAGAGAACAGTGAGTTACTATGATAAGGACATGAAGTCTCAAATAATGTTGAGTGTGAATGACACTGGACTGGGTTCTGACTAAAAGTTTCTCTAAAACACTGGGCGTCGTCATCTTTCAGCGGCAGCCTCGGGCTGAGTGCGGACGTCGTGACGCCCAGCATCGCGACGATGTCGCGCCGGAAACAAGCCAAACCACGAGCACTGAAGAGTAAGTACCATCTACTGTGCGGTTTTATTTTAAATTTTACCGGACGTGACACATATGCCTGTATTTTTAATGTTTATCTGTGTAACTAATGTTATAAACCGGAACAAAATATCCTCAGTTTTGATTTTATAATTTTCGTTCGATTATATTTTGGAATGAAAACATAATTTATTTACATTTGAAGTAAAGTTTATGTTTTTTATTTGGGCATTAATAATTTGTTGCTTGTAAAATTCACAGTTTCTTGCAAGACGTACGTATGTAATCATTTTATTATGCAACGCGGCAGTCCCATTCCGTATTAACTTTATTTGAAATATAAGAATTTTAGGATATGAACTTTGTTCATTAGTTACTAAGAAACTAATGTTTCTTTTGTCTCGAATAGGGAAAAACCGTCAAGAGATGTAACTTTGTTAATTTACGTAAAGTGGAATGTTCGAAACTATTTGCTGCGCATGAATGCAAAGCAAACTGTTAAGTCTTCTGACTTAGGTTATTTTGTTGGAAAGGAAAGATTTCAAACTGAAAGAACAAGGATGCATGTTGGTTTATAGAAATTAGAAGAGCACGCCGTCCTTTGAAAATTACAGTCTCACATACATATTAATTTGTTTTAATGGATCTTGACTCGGTTGAATTTTTCTTTTAAACTTCTTTGGGGTTCTTATTTCTCTAAAATCTCTGTTAACTAAAAAATGTAAAACGGTTTCCTTAAACGAAGGCGTATGTCGCACAGGCAGTAAAGTTCAGTAGTACACAATGTGGTATGAGGAATCGCAGGGAGGCTGTACTTGATTTCCGGACTTATATATATAATACGCATAGTAAATATAAATAAATATATATGATATATAATAAATGTAATATATATATACTTAGCTATCTTGCCGTTTCAAATCTAAAATAAATAGCATTCTTGTAAGTTTTGAGGTTTTCACGGCGATGTCTATGAAGAAAGTCGTCTTCTGGGATCTGGCGCCGTGTATTATTCGTTTTAACCGACGTTTCGAAGGAACATATCGCCACCATCTTCAGGGTGGTTGAGTTGCGTGCGAATAGAGATAGCTACCCTGAAGATGGTGGCGATATGTTCCTTCGAAACGCCGGTTAAAACGAAGAATACACGGCGCCAGATCCCAGAAGACGACTTTCTTCAAATAGCATTCTTAGTTACGGTTTCTAAAAATTGGAGTTGTTGCGATACGCCGTTCATTTTTTTATCGGGAGTGGCAACTTGTGAATGAATGAATATGACTAGTTGAGCTATTGAAACCGTGATACCTTTAACATTTCTATATTTGGTATTTTTATTTTCGTTTTAGTTCTTGTTGAAATATTCGTATCATTATTATTATTATATGGAGTATTGTTTTATGATACATTTTGGTTCGGATGCGGACACTATTAGAACAGAGTCCACGGAGGCAGCCTCAGCTGCTTTCTCTGCAATGTGATGTTGCTGGTGGCTATTCTGAAATTAGACTGGTAGTGTGTGTCGTGCATTTTAATGGGAATCCTGTGCACAATACGAAACAGTTAGCCTAAAAACTGTAACTTAAATAATGCGCTCATTCTTATCGTTCTGACAGCTACTCCTTTAACCATGATTTAATGCGTTGTTTTGAGACAGCTTTTGTCTTAAGAGATAAAAGTTAGCTGATGTGATTGCATCGGGTATTTATTGACTTTTTTAGTTTTTTTAGACGACAGTTTTTTTATTTTCAGAATATTTTTATTCTCGAATTTCGGTTTTGAATTAATAAGAAATTATTTCTCATAGTTGTTGTATTAAATGTGAAAATATTGATCTTCTCTCATAGATCGTATGTCAATGATAATAAGATGCATTTTATCATACAGTAACTTTCGAGAACCTAAGATCGTCTTAAGGTTTAATTACAATTTTGTTTGAATCTCTGAATGATAATTTATGATCATCTCTCAGAGAATTCAGCATTAAATAACCAGGTTAGCATCTTTATCGTAGTTGTAGGAAAAATTATGTTGTTAAAGTACATATAATGATGTAATTTACCCATATTTCCCGAAATCTTGCGTTTTCTAAGTAGTCTGTATAGATTCATAGGCTATAATGGTTTTTACTCGGCAAGTCTTAGTTACTTAATTTAAATATGCGCCGAAACGTTCACACAGATATGTGGTCTCAACAGCGTCGTTCGCAAGATACGTCAACAGGTAGCGTAAGGAAAGACAGATTTTGGATATACAGTGTATTACGTGTGCACAGAACAGCATCTGGCCAGTTACTAATGGTTTACAAAAGATGTTGAAACGGCCCACAATTACAGTCAGTGCATACTTGAGTCTTGTTGCGCCAAGAATTCCTGGTCCACTGAAAGATGTCTGGCATGTTGCATATTATCATCCCAGCAACCTCAGTGGCATTCCACAGTTTGTTTCTCTTGTTACGTTCTTGGTCGTAAACGTTGCCCTTTGGATGGTCCCACAAGAAGCCGGGGCAGGAACTATATCGAGTTATCGCGGAGGCTAGGATACCGGTCCGTTTCGTCCTATCCATAGACAGGGATAATGACTGTCTCAACACTGCGTGCAGTACCCATATTATCTACCACGTTGCCAATGATGCAAGGTCCGGTAGTTGGGGTATTGTTCAGAAAGAAGTCGTAGATACGAGGACCCTGACAGACGAGGTGGTATCTCATAAGGACCTAGGAAGGGCCTCTCAGTTATTTTCGTCCAAACGTTTATTGCAGACTACTGTTGGGATCGTGTTTCTTGAAAGGAATATGGATTTTCATCAGCTTACATGTTCTGGTTACGGCATTAAAAATCCCATTTCCATCAGCAGCACTCGGCAGAGAAATGTTGGAAACGCTGCAGTAGCCATTCGCAGAAATCATTTGGATGCTCATAATCCAGCGGCAGTTGCAGAACTTGAACATATAATACTTTGAACGGATACATGATCATGCAACAGCCTTACCAAAAATCACTGAGAAATGTGTTTACGAGACGCCAACCGCCTGGTACCAGTGATCGTTCTGCAACAGGCAGAACATCTTCCGCATTGGCACTCCTGCGACTTTGTGGTCTACCAGCATCTGTCATATTGGACCACAGTCTGTTTCTTGCAGACGTTTTAGAAAAATTAATTTCCTGCAATTTGGATGCCGCCGTTGCTGATACCTTTCAGCGTACAGACGTGTAGCAGCTGCACTGATACACTCTTCTTCTCCATATAGTAATGTCATATCCCGTGGCGGCTCGTAGCTAAAATTAGTGGGGGTGCTGCTCCAGAAGCGCACAGTTCCATACAAAGATTTGGCTACTGACGTTAAGCTTAAGGATTATATAGTTTATTGTACAAGTATAAAGAAAGAATTAAAGAAAAAAGGACTCATTATATAAATGTTATCGATAATATCAAGTGGAAATTGGGGGTGCTACAGTTCCGCAGTGCCTATACACGGGCCGCCCCTGGTCATATCTGTCAGTTCGTGTAATGAATAATCCGCATATTGTGCCATTCTTTGACGTGTAATGTGTCTATCATAGTGAGCACACCACCACCAGAACATAAACAGGAGTGACCTCGCAGAATCTGTAGACTGAATGATCGTCTTACCTGTTTTATGGTGCTGTCTCGTGGTTGCCACATGCAAGGTCTCCATATCTCACTACCGAAGCTATTCCGACAATGTATTGTCACGTGTAAGGAGGGTACAGGAATAAAATATGGTTGCATAAGAGTTGAGCGTTTTATGTTCATCTGAGTAGCTACCAGCTGTTTAAAGAAGACCTTGATCCATGAAGTTGCCTATTGTGATGATGTGGTCCTTGTGTCTCTCATCTAAGAAACTAGGTATGTTGAGTGGAATAATATCTTCTTATAGGTCTGACCGCAGCCTCTCACTTCTATTACTTATCCTTTATAATAATTCAGTTGCGGAACGCTATATAATGCGCGTTTCATAAGGTATTAGGACTAAGAAACAAGCAAGACAGCATATTTTGCGTGACGTCGCTCAAAGATCAGGACATTTAATGGCTTCGGGTCTTCTTCTCGTCTCGAAAATGATTTGCACCAGGAGAGATACAACTCTAACCCTCACCAAACAGGCCCTTAATTTCCTGTAATAATCTCTTCAACCCTAACTGACTTTACGGTCATTAAAGTGAATGACCTTGCGCCTGTCGATAGCGCACGTTTGCGTGAAGTGGACCTAACTTATCCACAGGATATTGTCGGACAAGTAAAGACTGCCATGTCCGACAAACAGAACGTCATGTGAATGTTGCGAGAACGCTCATAGAGGAAAGTCTAACTGTCATGCCGTCATCAAGAAAAACTTTTATTATGTGATGGTTCAGCTACGGACTCTAATGTCCGAAACACTGACAGGGCGTTGAGGAGAATATTTGGACCGAAGAGAGATGAAGTGACAGGAGGTTGCAGGAAACTGCATAATGAGGAGCTTCATAACTTGTACTCTTCTCCAAGTATAATTAGAATGATCAAGTCAAGGAGGATGAGGTGGGCAGGGTATGTAGCACGAATTGGGGAGAAAAGGAACGCATATGGGATATTGGTGGGAAAGACAGAAGGAAAGAGACCACTGGGAAGACCAAGGTTTAGGTGGGTGGACAGTATTAAAACCTAGACAGATAGGATGGGATGGTATGGATTGGGTTGATCTGGTTCAGGATAGAGATCAGTGGTGGGCTCTTGTGAACACGGTAATGAACCTTCGGGTTCCATAAAATGCTGGTAAATTCTTGAGTAACTGCAGAATTGGCGACTCTTCAAGAATGGCTGAGCTTCATAAGTAAGGAATTAAATAATGTCCGAAAGACTGTCAACCAAAACAAACAAAAACTGGTTACTTAGAATTTTCAGACCTATGATCTACGAGCGATTCACTCAATATCTCTGCAGATAGGAGACAGTATTTTAACTCCCAACAGAATCTACGAATATCCGTCCATTATGTACTCTCCAATTCAATGGCTGCCAC